ATGGACCTCAACTCCCAGAATTCCGCAGCCAGCTGGGGAATTCTGGGAGTTGAGGTCCGTCCATCCATCTTAAACTTGCGGAGGTTGAGAAACACTTCCTTTAATAGGTTAGAAAAAAAGCTTTAAAAAAGCATACAGGTTATCGGTACTGCAGTCCAGTGAAATAGAAACCACAAAACCTGCTGTTATGCGTTCAAGATTAGCACCTTTATTGTTACATAAGTGTTTATATATTATTGTTTCAACAGATACATGGAATATAGTGCTAAAAGAGGAATAGTGAAGGAAGAGGTGAGATGACCTAGAGCCGCGTTCCTCAATCTCAGCAACTTTAAGATGGGTGGACTTCAACTCCCAGAATTCCCCAGCCAGCATATATGAGATTTATAGCTCGCTTTCCTCCAGGAGCTCAAGGTGGCTCATGTTGGGAAACAAACCATGGTTTAGTTGAATGTATATATCCATCTTCTGCCTCCCACCCACTTATTGTTTCTTTCAGAAGGTTAACCAATATATTTAATTCTCATTACAGAAGTCAAAAGTGTTTCTCTTCAGATAAATATTCTACTAGATTAAGAACTGAACGGTAAAAGCCAGAAAACATCATATTACTTGAACTGCAGTTATTACAATACCTCCTTATTTTCCAAGGCATCGTTTTATTTTCAGTCCTGTCAACACAAGTGTGCCCATTGTTCTAGTAGAGGAAATCAAAATAGTACCTTTCAAAACTGCAGAATGAACCTGCTGTATCTCATTCAGATTTCTTGACAAAAACCTGGCATATTCTATTCACATTTTAATATCCATATAAATCCATCTTGTCTTTGCACCAAGCTATATTGGTCATATGATGGCAGTATAGTTCTAAATATTCACCTGGAGAAATAATGAAATAAACATTTACCATAATTTCTCTCTCTCTCTCTGAAATACACACACAAATTCTCTTTTTCTCTTCCTCTACATCACTTTTACAAATCCAAGGTAAAGCATCTTGGAGCAGAAATGCTGGGGAAATTGGTTACTTTCAAGCTGAAGGGGCTGCTGAACTAAGTGATTGGTCATTTCTTGAATGCAGAGGTTGCAATGAGCTGGGTGAGAGTAATAAATATCTTTCACTCCCCCTGATGTTTCACAGATTATTTGGGTATTAAGAAAGGAACTGTACACTCATGCATCAATGTGAATGTTTATAAAATTTCAGTCTTTCAATTTTCAATTCTGTCATTTCTTCTAGATAAAAATTACCTTAAGAAATTACTTTGAGATCACATTACCAAATACAATAATAAAAAAGGAAGTTGTTAAATGATAGTGGGGTATTCCTCACCTACATTGTTATTTAGACCAACACTGCCTTCAGATTGTCTTTACTCTGAAAAATATTTTAAAAAATGAGGTGAAATAGCACAACACAGGCCAGTTCTTTCACTGCTTTGAAGCTATTAAGAAACAAACTTAATAGCTTGAACTGAACTTGCCACATTAACATTCACACATTAAAGGTTTTCATCCCTGAGGATCCAGAGATGGCCTGGAAATTATCTTTCCAACCAGGCCAGGCAATTTCTGTCTAATTTGTAGCTTTTTCATGAAGGAGAAATTGTCCCTAAGCAAAATTTCTTTGTATGAGAGAATAAAGTACTATAGATTGTGGAACACTGCCCTCTACTGATTGCTATCAGCCACTGTTCATTAACTTAATTATTTAAATACATCCCTCAGTCATTCATTCTGGATCAGCCCCTGGCTTCCTTATGTGCCCAAGGTAAAATACATTAGTTGTTGTCTAATGCAGTGTTTCTCAACCTTGGGAGCTTCAAGATGTGTGGACTTCAATTCCCAGAATTCCCTGCTGCCTGGGGAATTCTGGGAGTTGAAGTCCACACATCTTAAAGTTCCCAAGGTTGAGAAACAGTGGTCTAATGCATTGCTTAAGCCAGTGTTTCTCAACCTTAGCGAGGTTAAGATGTGTGGACTTCAACTCCCAGAATTCATGCTGGCTGGAGAATTCTGGGAGTTGAAGTTCACACATCTTAAAGTTCCCAAGGTTGAGAAACAGTGGTCTAATGCATTGCTTAAGCCAGTGTTTCTCAACCTTAGCGAGGTTAAGATGTGTGGACTTCAACTCCCAGAATTCATGCTGGCTGGAGAATTCTGGGAGTTGAAGTTCACACATCTTAAAGTTCCCAAGGTTGAGAAACAGTGGTCTAATGCATTGCTTAAGCCAGTGTTTCTCAACCTTAGCGAGGTTAAGATGTGTGGACTTCAACTCCCAGAATTCATGCTGGCTGGAGAATTCTGGGAGTTGAAGTCCACACATCTTAAAGTTCCCAAGGTTGAGAAACACTGGCTTAAGTACTTTAAGACAGTTTGCAGGGAGAACCCTAGCTCTGCCTACTGGGAATCTTTGGCTCCACCTATCACCAGCTGTGATCTGTGACAATGAGTCTGACAAAATGGGAGCAGCCTAATTA